CTTCGTTGCTCACATGGTGCTGCCACTACACGCGAGCAATCGAACGCAAACAGCAGTTTTCGAAACTATACAGTAGTCTCAAATCTTCCTATCGAACAGGCGAGGTCTCGCAACCGTACAGTAGGACAGCACGAACTGTAGCATTGTGCAGTCGGTCTTTGAGATTGAGATTGACATCGCGACGACGCTACAAGTGTCTCGGGTTAGTAAATGCAAGGCGAGCTTTGTCAATTCGTTGTGAAATTTCCTCATCAATACCGCCACCAGCTGTGATGCAACTCCCGAGGTAAGTAAGGGTTTACAACCTGTTAAAAGCTTGAAGTGGCGATCGTACAACATCTTGTGATACACTATGGCCAATGCTTTCTTTTTCAATCTGGCTGTAACTCCTATCGGCCTTCTTAGGTGTCCTGACGGCATGAGCGATTGCTTTATGCGACCCATCCGAGTACATTTGAGATGTTGCTGCTCCGATCCCACGACTTGATGCGTATGTAGTGAGGACAGTCTCTCTGGAGGGACCGAAATGAGTCAAAAGTAGATTGGAGACCAGCAACCACTTGACCCGTTCGAAGGCATTCCGACGTCCTATACCAAGTTTGACCTTTTGTTAGTAACTTGTTTAGCAGGGCACGCAGGCGATGCGTCTCAGGCAAGAATGCGCTGTAGTGACTGATGAGACCACAAAAGGAACGCAAAGACTGTAGGTTTGTTAGTGGAGTCACTTTATGGCTTCAACCTTTGCCGGATCTGGTCGACATTCGTACTTTTCAAGGATAAAACCGAGGTATTTGATGGTGGGCGTGAACAATATTCATTTTTCTTCACGGATGTGGCAACCGTATTATTGGATACAACCAAGCACTCTATCCAATCGTCTAAATAGCTGTTCTGGTGTTTAACCCATCACTATGGTATCATCCAGATGCGCAGCAGCTTCAGAAACTCCCGCGAGCATGGTATCCATCGACTGTTGGAAAATGGCTGGCGCCGTTTTTACACCAAAATGCAGGCGGTTGTACTGGAACAGTCTGCGATGAGTGTTGATCGTCATCAACTCTAGTCTTAGCCAACATCCGCCTGGAGATAGGCATCGGGCAGGCCAAGATTAGCAAAGCACCAGTCAGTTTTGCAAAGATGCCTTCCGGTACAGGTAATGGGTACTGATGGTCAGCGAACGCAGCGTTCAGTCCAGCCGAAAAACCAACACAGACGCGTACCTTGCCAATTACTTTCTTTACCGCGACAATGGATGCGGCCCATGAGGAGTGGTTGACAGATGTTATGACTCCGGCTCGTTCTAGTCGATTCGAGTTCTTGATCAGTGGTAGGTTTGGTTGTATACGGTACCGGAGTTTTAGCCTTAAATACTAGCTTGGCTCGTACTCGCGAGCTCAAGGTTACCTTGAACTTGGTGCAATGGACTTGGCCATCCTGAAAGCCAGAGGCAGATTTACGCTTCAGCAAACTTGCCATATCTTCGACGAACTTCAACGATGCATCTGGATTTGCTTAGACGCGATTGCTGATCTGATTCAGCGCAACATCGAGGAGTCGTAACTTTTCAATCCACTTAAGACAAAGAGAATTCAAATTCGGCTTGTCTGAAATGTAACACATTCCTGACTCAAACACACCTTTGTATGCGATCTTGCAATTAAGTTCGCCGATCAATTTTGGCACAACCGGATGTAGTATGAGCAACTTTGTGAGACCTCATCATCTTTGGCCTCTTTATATGATTCCTTGTGTGCCTTGAAATAATCCCACTGTCCGAGGCCGAGTCGAACTACAGCTCCGTTGGGACCCCATTGATCAGCACCATAATGTATCGTCGTCGCGGTTTAGACTCGCTTTGGAATGTGACAACCATGGATAAAGATTCTGCGCCATCCTTTCCAAAGTTATTTCCATAGTGCTTCATGTTCTTTGGCCGGGACTAACCAGTATTCCTCCTTGGTCCCGCTTGTGGCACTTTTCACAGTGACATTTGAATGGGCAAAAACGTGCGAAATGCCATTCGCCGCATGACCAGCATGCTGTAGCTGGTTTGTTCAGAACCCTCCTGAACGGTTTGCTTGAGCTGGCAGTCCTTGCCTTTTTCATGCAGTGTACGGTATCGGGTGGTGCGAGACGATTCTGTTCGATCACGGCATTGTCGTGTTCTAGAGTGAGCAGACGTTTGCATTCGGTTACTGTGGACTTCAGTGTCAACTCTGGATCTTGATCCAGCTTAGCCCAAAACCGCGTACGGAACTCAGCATCACGGGGACTGTAGAGCGCTGACAAAAATGGGACATTTAAACTGGTTATCCGTTAAAGAGCGCAGTTTGGAATGCCCACACTCGCGGTTAGCCATATCTGCAAACGCCCCGAAATCGTAGGTTTCCCGCTTGACAACTTCGAGGCATTGATAGTGGATACTGACTCACAAAAATTTTCCTTAAGCTGCGACACTGGTTCATCGATTGTCGTATCCTTCGGCTGTTTGGGCAGAATGTGATCTATGAACCTTAAACGTTCTTTTGTGCCGAGCTTGCGAAATAGTAATCATACCTTCTTGGAATGGTTCTAACGAGTGAAATCCATCCGGAACATGTCTTCCCTACGCTTGAACCACTCTTCGAATGCACATGCAGAATCCGCGTCATATTTAATTTCGCGGATTGCATTTGTGGAAAGATCAACCGAAGTGTCCTGCGTCGCCGCTCCTGCAGATTGCAGACTTAGGCACTGCGTCAAATTTTTTGTCATCTTAAATTGTGACTGCTGTTGGGGGAGTAGATTATGAAATGTCCTCGCATTTCTAGTTTTATATTTGTAATTCGCTTACTGACCTTCGACTTGTAAAATAGGAAGATCAGCTGTCCAGAGTAGTAGTTCCATGCCGATCCGGCCGATCATCAAGAGGTTGGCAGTCACGTGCAAGCCCTAGAATATTCCAGAACGTTCGAAATTTATGCGTAATCGGTGATAATCGATTACAATGGCTTTTCCGGGAATTCTTATTTTCTCCTGGACACGCGGAGGATACGGCCGTCGCGTAGGCTTGCCTTAGTTTTTCGATAGACGGGTTGTTTCAATTCATCTATCGTGTTAGTCGGCCTTGCGATCATTGGGAATCCCTTAAACATCGGATATGTGGCATCAATCCGCTCAGAATAGGTGTCTTTTTCAGGTGTTGCATCGAGCTAATAATCTCTAATGATTCATAGTTTGTCCTTATGCCCTACTGCTGCTGATGACGACTAGACACATCAGACATTAGTTCCCTTTATATATTGGTTAGCAGTTATGAGCGCTTAGAGGTATCCTTCACTTTCACGTTTGTGGCGAGGAATCCGTTGGATCCCCTTATCCTCGTCACCATAGATACCGTAGTGTTAATATTTAGCTCAAAACTAATGACCAAAGACTGTCCACTTGGGAGTAGTTTCTCTCAGCTAAGCGAAATCTATCGGACGATGTGGACCGATCATCCGTCCGTGCGCAAAAGACCGCACTTGCTCCGCCTGGAGATATGCCATGTTGTAACGCTAGCGACCGGTTCGAATCGAAGTCCGAGGAATGAGGCCACGTTGAGCGCTCTTTTCATCCAAAGCTCTATTCTGATCCCAGTTTCAAATCCAGTTCACACAAATATGCGGCTATTTTTTACGTATGAGATAACAAATAACGATCATAACATCCCCAAAGAATGAACGAGGTTCGGTCTCATATTTGAATACAGGTGCGTTGTAGATAGATTTAACTGTCTTATATGTGAAATCCATTTTAGTAGCGGGATAACCTAGGTAACCAACGGAATCTGCGAAAAATCTGCTCTCGGACTTCTTCAATTTAAACCCAATTATCTTGGACGTCCTTGCTTCATGTAATCAACACATCGTACAACTAGTCACATTAGTAAAGCATATCATTGATCAGGTTATCAATGATCCTTTGGCGTTTCAACAAGACCTAATCAGTTCCGAAGGGCAAGCGTTTTTACTGGAATGAACTCATATCGTGATGCATGTGAACGAGGCTTGGTCTCACTGGGCTTGCCAACGTACACGATCCGGAGCAGTCCGCGAACATTTATCCATTAACTAATGTAGCACAGCCGCTATCCGAAATAAAGTATATTTCTCTAAAATTGGACAACAATTAACAGTTAGTTTATGGTCACCACATAACTCTAGAACTTCAGGACGGGGGCTGTGGGCCAAAGGAATGCGGCCGTAACTCACTCATTCCTGGATTTTTATTTTCCACTCTTCTAGTTTACTATTTTCCCTCATTTCACACTTTCATTAATTTTTAGTAGTGTGGCTACATACGTCAATGCTACCGGGTGCAAGGATCGTTCATCCACATATTCACAGTGTCTTACCCTTTAGATTTCTTTTTATGTGTCTCTCTTCCATCCCATCCTTTGTTTTAATTGATTCTGATTAGTTTTAGCCTATTCACTAGCGATAGCGTTTTGCTCGTTGCCCGTTGTCCTGGTTGGAACCAACATCTCAGCTCTGGTCATAGCTCTTGGCTGATATCGTGTCCTTGTCGGTATTTTTGAGTTCCCCTTGTGTGTGAATTACAACATATTACCTCACATCGGACCATCATTTACTTCGTATTTAATGTTAGTATGCTTAATCACTCCGACAGTGTCTGGTGCTGATAAATCCCTTCGTTTGCTCTCTCAACACTGCGCTTCATGTTGGTATTTTCCTTTCCCTAACTTGTCGGATCTTGGTAGCTGAGTCGAGATCTAGTGTTTGTCTGAGAACGCATTTACCGCCGCTCTATAAAGCTCTGTGAGCAGCACTTGTGATCCGGTTGTGTGTATAGAAGATTTTCGTCTTCTTCACTCTCCGCAATACATTGCACGATGAATTTTTTCATCGTCTGAGCTCTTTAGGCGGAACTTGTCATAAATGCGAGTCTTTTGTCGCTTTGAATCGCTTTTACCGTTTATTCGTCTTTTACCGATGACATGTTCTCCGCCTACTTCACAGGTCTAGCCGATTTAATCGTGCTCACTCGTCCTTTTCTCAAGCAAATCAGTAAGGCGAAGGCTGGCCGGTTGGTCAGGACTTTGGTTGACTTATTCCTCGATCTTGAGGCCGGCACTGGACGAGAAATTGATCTTTGCCGCGAATGTATCGCTTGGGCTAACGAAGAACGAAGGCTGTTTCTGCGGCAAGCCCTAGAAACGAGGCTCATGGGTCTATATTACGAAAATGAGTTGTATGAGGATGCACTGAAATTGGGTGAGATTGCCCCATTCCCTATCTAACAATATATTGACACTCCTTCAATAGATGTCCATGTTCTTAATCACCTCATTTTCCATATTTGCGCTCACTGTTACCAGCCTTTGTGGACCGTTTTGTTTTCTGTTGCGGTTTCAGCCCTTGAATGTGTTAGTGATAAGCTGCTTTGCACTTTCCTATCTATTTACAGGTGGAACCCTGCTGAAAGAGCTGAAGAAGTTGGATGATAAGGTGCTACTTGTTGAAGTTCAATTGATGGAAAGCCAAGTCTACTACAGGCTCGGTAATCTCCAGCGCTCCCGAGCGGCGCTGACTTCCGCCAGAACAACAGCAAATGGGATCTACTGTCCTCCTCGGCTTCAGGCTTCACTCGACCTTCTCTCAGGCAAGCTACCAATTGGTCTCGGTCCTCTTCGGCTTTCCGTGCCTTCATTTCGCGCACTCTTTCTAGCGTGGCCTGTTGTTCATCATGCTCAATCACAGAACTTGTTACTGTTAGTTCAGCTAGATAGATGGGGTTGGGATTGACCACATCTTCGAGGGACCACAGTTTACCAATATAGCCGAAACTACCCGATTGCTCCCCTATCCCATCCATGACCGAGCGTTCTGAGCTTCTACAAATTTCGGTGAAAAGAACTATGGCTCGACGAAGCTTTTGTGCCAAAAGCGCAACGTTGACAATTAAATAAACTAACCGATTTTTCACAAATCTCTGATATCAGAACCGTGGGTTCCTTCGTTGCCACATACACCAGCCAAACCGATGTGCTGAGTGTAACAAATACTTTTTTTAGAATTCCTTCAAATCAACTGGAACGTGCATGTCTCGTTTAGTAGGAGCCACAAGAGATTAAAGGTATTTTTATCTGGGATCCCCGTCTGCTCAACACCAGGTCCGTAGACAGTTCCGTTTTTGTCACATTTCCGTGTATCTTCACTGTCATCGAATTGCGATATCCGATATCGTTTCGTGCACTCATCCCAAGCTAAAACTCTCCCGGAATAACTTATTTTTGCGGCTTTAACTTAGCCTTCTCATGCCTCGGCTTATGCCGAGTGTGTAGCACGCATGTAACACGCATCTGCATCTTGCTTTACCTTGAATACACCGAAATCGATGTTTTTATGGGTGTTTTTTGATTCACGAAATTTGTCATCTCTTCTCATTCATGGACTACTCTCGATTGTACCACTGAATAGACATTTGATCCCATCCATTTTGTTTCAGGTATTCTTCATGCTGCCGATGAACGGGACTTCAAAACGGCCTGTTCCTACTTTTATGAAGCTTTTGAAGGCTTTGATTCAGTTAATTCAAACCGCGCAGTTGACGCCCTGAAGTATATGTTGCTTTCCAAAATTATGCTGAATTGGTAGGTTCATTTAGCGTAATTTCTCACTGCCTTTGCCCTCTTCGTTTTTTATCCTCGCAATATAGCCTGCTCTTCATTGTGCATTGAAAACGGGGTTACAACATTGAGACTTCATAATTGACTTCAGTACATCAACCTAGTTTTTCATTTCCAAACAGCTCTAGATATGGAGATGCTCAAACCCGTGAGAAACATAAAATGAAGCGAACGAAGTCCATCTGTAGAACCTTCGACCGAACATTCAGGCTTTAAATCTTCATTCTTCCAACATTATACCCTCAGCTTACTATCAGCGGAACGACTTCCCGCGCCTTTCACTGTCTCGCGACACGCGAGACGGAATACCGGCACTCAGTCTGGTGGCCGGAAGCTTCATTCCCCACCATATCAATGGTAGACAACACAGAACCATGCCATCCTCATCATGTACCGCGCGTGTAGACCTGTCACGTGCTCGAATTAGTTGTTGATCTAATTGTACTGATCGCCGACACCTGTTGCTCATCTGTAGTCTTCAGATCAACGAGTTCCCTGCTGTAGAACAACCCAGCGTGATCCACAAAATCAGCTTTTATTGCAGCTATTTCGCTTCAGCAATTGGAGGAGATAAAGAACGAAAACATGTGTGAGGGATAACCTGGATTCAGACTATTTCGTGTCTTCTCAATCAGCCGCTTACAGGCAAATCGTGGGAACAGTAAAGGAATGCGATTAAAAAGGAGTAATCTTAACAGTCTAGCAACTAGACATAGAGTAAACAAAGTCATGGAGATTAACATATAAGGGGAAGTCACTGCGTTATAATCCTCGTGGCATAGTGGCTGAAGGTAGTCAACACACTTCAGCTACTATGCCGCAGGAAGAAAGGAACATTTCGACAACAAATAGAACAAAACCTCTTCGTTTGTTTTTCACACGCCAATTTTTCTGTTTTTTTGTCATTTTCAGTGTTTTCAGTATTAAACATATGAATCAATACGGTTCTGTACACATTTTTCCGCTGATTCCGGTTGCGTTCCATGTCTTCAGGAGTGTTAAGGCATTGACACTATTCATTTTTGGTTCCCCATCCTGGATGACGTACGGTTCCAACAGCGGCTAGACACGATGTCAGCGATTTCATATGCTGTCGCCAAATGGAAGGCTGACCACCACGCGGTCGCCTCCAGTCAGGTCTTTGATGAGCGAACAGAGCGCAACACGGTAGACGCTCAGGTGCCATGCGTAGGACGTAACCGAGCCATCTCAACTGGCGCAGCACAACTAGTTTGTTGAAGGGAATACTCGCATTCCCCAAGATGCGACGTCGAACATTACTGTTAACTCGATCTTGCCACCAAACACGAGCAATCCTTCTTAAGCGACCGCTGTCGAAGGCAGAAAGACGACACATGTCTTCCACGCGAATCGACCAGGACTCGCTCCCATACAACAACACTGCACGGACAGATGCGCTGTAAACACGGCCCTTTAGTGCGAATGAAATGTTGCGACGACGCCACAAGTGCTTCAGATTGGCAAATGCTGATCGGGCTTTATCGATGCGAAGAGCAACTTCTTTGCTGGTAGTGCCGTCAGCAGAAACACTACTTCCAAGGTAGACGAAACTATCTACCTGTTCAAGTTGTGCGCCTTCGAGAGTGAGCACGGGAGCAGGTGAAAGCCAATCCTTGAGTAGTACTTTACACTTCGATGGGGCGAAGTTCATGCCATACTTAGATGCTTCAACCGCCAAACGATCCCGAATGAGTTGCGTACCCTGAGGATTGTCACCAAGTAAGGCGATATCGTCAGTATAGTCTAAGTCGGTCGTGCGCTCACCCGGTTGAGGCTGTAGGCCAAATTGTTGGAAACCTTCCAGGGCACTCGACAGAACGTCTTCGATTGCGGAGGAATTGGGACATAAGACGGGCCTGTCGCACACCGCTACTGACAGCGAATGGCGGGGAAAGCTTGCCATAGACCCTCACTCTGCCGGATGTATGAAGGTAAAGTGCTCGTAAGATGGCGGTATATTTCTCTGACACCCCATTCTTTAGCAAGCAACGCCATAAAGCAGGTCGATCAACAGAGGCAAGAACGGCATATATGTCTAGGAATGCAACCATAGTGGGCCTGTGATAAATGTGGCGATGTTCCACGATTTGGCGGAGCGTGAAGCTTTGATCCACGCATCCGCGGCCGGGACAGAAACCAGCTTGTTCTTTACAAAAGGATGATTCACGATGCCCATTGAAAAGGAGATCAATTAGGGATTCAATAAAACACAGAAAATCATGGTCGTCGCCTACGTCTTACCACCGCAAGGCAAGACTGGCCACAAGGTCGAGCTACTTGCAAAGCTTAGGTTTCATTCGCCGGATGGCGGAGACTTCTGCGAAACGAAGCAAACTTGAGTAGTTCTCTTTGCTGATAACCTTGAATTAGTCACATGAATTTTCGCACAAGGGGCAATCGAGCAGATAGAAAACACGGTTGCAAAGAAATGTCTTTTCGGTAAATCGCGTCAGGCTAATGCTTCTACGCAGTTGACGGAGAAAATTACGGGCTAATGAAAGCTGAAGTGAAAAAGACATAACTGGCTGATATTATTCAAAAGAAAGTCAAATGAATCAGATCAGATGATGGGATTCAAACAACTCTGACTTCTTCACGAAACATGGTTCAGTCAAGATGTGAAAACACACTTGGTCCTCCTCAGTGTCCCATACGAAAGGATTCTCGTTATGGCCAAGGTAAAGTTAAATCTTGCAACAGCATCTACTTGCAAAGCTCTGGTTGCGTGAGCTTAATCGCAAGCGCTTCGGCTATCCTTAGAACACGCTTCCTAAGCCCCTTTTGCACTGTGTAGAAAACGTGGAATGCATCGTTGCTCGGAAGTTCGTGTCCACTTTGAAACAAATGTTCAAGCATGGAACTTCTGGTACTTCTGACAATACCTTTCTGCAGGGACACGGGACAGTGCTCAACTATCCTTATCTACAGACGCCTGGTCGTATATCCGAGGTGCTTTGCATCACAGGTGAAAGTTAATTGATATACCACATGCGATTCAGACTATCTCGATAATCTGTCCTTAAGGCGCTGAGCAATAAAGAGGGTGATCTCCGCAAGAAAGGGCGGATTGGTTGCAGGATAGCTTTTGGTCATCGCGGTGGAAAGTCAACAGGTCGAAAGCGATGTCCCCCTTAAAGGAAACCGTAAGAAATACATCCTTTTTTGGGACTGTGATAACAAGGTCACTGTGTTCACGGATTGTAGCATACTTTTGAGGCAAGGTAGCCATTTGAAAGTGATGTTTCGAATATGCGTTCTTTCTCCTTTTCTAGGGACTGAGGGCTACAGATTTTGGAGGCGCGGTAATACATCAGCGAACTTAGTTACGTTTATATCTCAAAGGCACGGAACTTAGAAAATACGTGTGTTGTCCCACCCACGTAGCTTTCCGAAGACACTTCTCTCAAGAGAACTGTCTTCCCGCCAGTTCTATCATTTTCACTTCATCTTTCATTAGCTCGTAGTTTTCTCCGTCAACTTTGTAGAAGCAATTGCCTGATGCGATTTACCGCAAAGTGATCTCTTTGCAACCGTGTTTTCTAACATTCCCATGGGTGTTATCTACGAATCGAGCAGATACTGAGTGATTGAGCTTGCTGGACGTTTAGGGCCACTGTATGCCAAATTCCGCGGAACATGATCCTAGTTGATAGCCTTCTCTCGGTTCGGCCAATGCACGTGCTACCGCAAGTACAGATGAATTAGTAAACAGAGGAGACGGTAAAGTAAGAGTGAGGCTTATCCAAGTTGGATTCATGGAACAATTTCTTGGTTTGATGTAACAACACGAGCTAAGCTGCGTAGTAGCACCTTTCTATAACCTGTCGTAACCGAAAGCAGAATCTTCTGTCGTTCTGTTCTCCTTTGTATGGTAGCGTGATGAACACCTTTTCTTTAGCACATCCACTTGTTTTTCTTAGCATTTGTACGAAAGATGTCCAATTTGCCCTGATAGAAAAATGTATCGTTAATTTGAAGGCCTACTTGGACCGATTCTAGCTGACATCTTTATGGGTCATCTAGAGAATAACTTATTACGCGAAATCATTGGAGCCACACACTTGTACACAAAGTATATCGACGATACTTTTGTTGTGGTTGACAATGTCCAGCAAGCGAAGGTCCTTTTGGAAACATTAAACAAATGCCATCCTAATATCAAGTTCACTATGGAGAGTGCATCAGATGGCTCTTTCCATTTTATTGACCTTGCACTTGAGAGAAGAGATGGTTCACTCAGAAGATCTATTTACCGGAAACCGAGCTGGGCCGGACAGTACCTACATTTCAATAGTTACTGTCCAATGCACTACAAACGGTCCCTACTTCGAACTTGTTAGAGCGCACCGAATATGCTCTGAAGAGTCAATCGACTCTGAAATATGATACATCGAGTCTACCCTACACAATAACGGCTATCCGAATAAATTTATTGCCAGGTATGGGAATGAGGTTGCTTAGAAAAACGAATGTATGTCCCAAAGAAAAAGATCTTCATCACGCTACCATACAAAAGGGAACAGAATGACAGAAGATTGTGCTACCGATTGCGCCAAGGCATAAAAAGGTGCTAGTACGCAGCTGAGCTCGTGTTGTTACATCAAACCAAGAAGCTGATCCATGAATCCAACTTGGATAGACCTCACTCTCAGGTTACCGCCTCATGTGTTTACCAATTCACTTGTACTTGTGGTAGCATGTACATTGGCCGAATCGAGAGAAGGCTATCGTGGAACATGTTCCACGGAACCTGGCAAGTCGTGGTCCTAAACTGCCTGCCAGCTCAATCGCTCAGCATCTGCTCGATTGTACCTTGTGCGAAAGCCCACGTGACGCATTCAAGGTTATCAGCAGACAAAACAACGCGAGCTTGCTTCGTTTCGCTGAAGCCTCTGCCATCCGACGAATGAAACCTAACCTTTGCAAACAGATCGACCTTGTAGCCAGTCTTGCCCTGCCCTGGTAAAACGTACGCGATGACCTTGATTTTCTGTGTTTTATTGATTCGCCTATTGATCTTTTCAATTGCATTCCTTTACTCTTTCCACGATTTATCTGTAAGCGGCTAAATGAGAAGACATGAAATAATCTGAATTCAGGTTATACCGCATAAATGCTGTTCGTTCTTGCTCTCCTAACACTCAGCTTTACTGACAGGAGCAATTTCCTTTTTGTGAAAGCTCCGCAGAATACTAAATACTTCAAGGAAGAAGCAGAAAGAGATTTTTCTGTGTAGCTGCATCTAATATCTCAGGTACAATGGCTGAAATGCTGGCGAGCATTCCAGCTGTTTCATGTCGAATGTTTGACCAGGAATTTATTTTATTTCGACATCGACTTTCCTTCGGTTACCTGCGGCAGGAACTTCTTCCATCTATTCACTACTCTCTTTTCAAGGCAGTGTTGATGGCTGACGCGTTTCAAATTCGGTATTACACGTTTGTACCGGTGTCTTCTTGTGCTGCTAGGTGTACACTTATAAAGGAGCAGCCTCAACATGGTGTAATCACCAAGATGTACTATCCGATACGTACTGATGCGGTTAACCTGCGCTGGACTATAAGATGGTGTAAGGTCCTAGCCACCATCAATTCCCCCTAAAGCACGCCAGCATCCCCGGAAGTGCCAAAAGTCGGCAAGCACGTGAGTTCATTGAAGCCTGGCATTCAAAGTAGCACTCGATCGATAAGCACTTGGACATTGAAGTCGCTTACGAGGCACTGCGAACCAGGCCCTTTAAGTCGCACTGATGTCTCCTCTGTCAAATTAATCACTCTGCTCTGAGAACAGCTCAAAATCCGAGTCCTAGCCTCTTGTACCGGTTTTCGTAAGGCGGAGATGAACCTCGTACCCACATAATATATTCTCTCAATCCATTACACATCGCCCCGGATGATAGGACAGTATGATCCTTGCGTAAATTCAATTACAGCATTTACATTGCGTGAGCTAATTTCATCGGCTACACATCAGTCCTTGGTATTGAAGTTTCTAAGATGACCGACCACCTTCCGTTCTTCGCTTTTAGATCTCTGGGATCGAGTAAAGAACAAATCGTTCTTCAACAGCACTTCACTTTGGTACTCCAGTCCGTAGGTCCAATAATGGGATAGCCCTAATGAGTTTTTCCGGGCCTACTTACACAGCTTGACGATTGACAAGCAGTAAGGCAATGTCTATATGATTTATACTAGTAGGTTTCCTTGTTGATAGCGCTCCACTGTCTGCAATGCGAGACCACATTAAAAGTGAGTCGAAATGGTACACTCTGTCGAATTCCACTTGTTATCCGGCCATTTATCGCGGACACCGGTACGACCCGAGGCGTTTACCTTTTTGGCACGTATACTTTTGACGCAGCATAGCCAACCTGCGCGCAGCTCCATCCTCATCAACAGCAATGCATCATTGACTTGTACTACTGCTCCGTTGACACACCTGAGGAGTCGGGAAGTGGGACTTGGTGTGTAGATTCAAGCCGTTATCCTATTGGTCTTAAGATGCAACGAAGCCTGCTAAATGACTTTTGATGCCAGGCCACTCAGCACTGCGGTAACATGAATGCAACTGACAAGACCTCCGTTGCATCCAGTCCGCCGTTCTTAACGCCGCAAGAGAAATACAAGTGGAACGAGGAAAGGAGAGGCATCGGCAGGAACCTTTCCTCGTCTACTCACCGTATCCTAGTGTAGTGGATACTACAACTCTTTTGAAACTACGCAATACCCAATGCTGGATGAAGTTTTAGTTGGATAAGCTAGTTGTGGCTGTGCATGGCTTCGGACAGATACAGCATACTCAAACCCAGCAAAAATGGTTAGGGATCACAACTAAACCCTTAAACGCTTCAACTAAGTACAATGATGGTGCATAAACATTACCCAGAATTGCTCATTATCAGAACGCCCTAGCCCTCAACGCCAAGTGACTGAGCTTGTTTGACCTCAGACCATTAGTTCGATAGAAGTAGTTCTGAACTTTTCCAATGACTCTGTGCAGCATAGCTCGGTGGGTAGGACGTGCGCAAACTGTCACACCAAGTCATGTTCCATTCCAGTCCCGACATGCGTTACACTTTCCAGCATTTGCATTTTGCTGAGTGTTTTGGGCCATCGCGACAATATTAGACCTTAACGTTATGTAACGGTTTACATGCCTCAACTATCCGTTGAGCTTTGCTGGGTAGTGCTTTTTGCACCTCCAGAGCCACTCACACCAGATTTGTCAGTGGTTAGAGGCCAGACAAACCCAGTCTCATGGCCCCCACCATCATCATCCTCATCATACACGTTAGCTAGAGGTGGCAAACACTTCAGCTATTGTGCCGCAATACATTGTGAAAAAATGCGCAACGAAGACACGCCGGCTGAGTCACCAGTAACGAATGGACATCGTTCCGGGGCGCTAACAGCCGGCTATTGTGCTACAAAAAAGTGTTACATTATGCCCGGTAAATGTGATCGCGGTTGGAGTGGGAGGCTGAGCGGGAGGGGGAGGAACAACCTGGTCGCTCAGGTTGGGGTTGGAGTGACGGTAGCGCCTTACTCCATATAACGGGCCCTCTATAGCCCGCTGCCTTGCGGTCAGGTTTTTGAACCAAAGGCTTTGTTTGAGTACCCTAATCGTTCTCCTGTCTAGGTCCGGGCAGCCTGACAGTATCCTACCGACACAATACAATGAACTTCTCTACACATGATGGTCGATGGCGCCCTTTCTGCTGTATCGAGCCAGGTGGATGCTACTGCTCAGGCCTTCCCTCTGTCGCACGTTTTGGTGTATGTGTGATCAACTTAAGTCAAAGAAAGCTTTATACACTCAGATGGGTACGTTTTCATCATTTTACACTATCTACCACAAATGTGGTAAAAAAGCATCAGTAACTATGAGAATTTTACAATTTAAAAACAGAAAGGGTAAAGAGTGCACAGATATCACTTAAGAAATCAGTCCCGCATATTGATAGTACTAGTTATAAGATTCTTCATCCACTTGACGGGGCCGACTCTTGTTAAAACGTTTATTAATAGTTCGTTTCATTTGGACAAAAGCAGCAAACTGCAAGTTATTCGCGGTGTATCGGATGCTTTTTCAAAGAATCGGTGGAGCTGGGCGGCCTCAGTGACTTTGAAATGACGATTTAGTCTGATGCTACTTTTCTGTAGCATACAGTGTTTGCTTTGATCTATCATGTGATCATTATTCTAACATCGATCACTTCACTTCCGAGTTATCTGTGAAAGATTTCACTTTAGTTCTTTGCTTTTCTGCCTGTTGTTAGTCCTGATGAGATCCCCGGAATTCTCACGGGCAAGTTGGCTCTGAAATACTCCAGCACGCATCTGGACGCAATGCGCGAGGTCGGGTTGGCTGCCAAGCATAGGTCACTGGGTGACTTTCTGGCTGTAAGTTACTCCTTGTCCATTGTTATTACACCCTGTCTTTCGTGTGTGCACGATCGCCTTTGGGTTTCGAGTGGTTTTCCTGTAAACTGCGATAGTCTGATATTCCCACTAAGCCACTGTTTTGTTTTCGAAAATGTGTATCACAAGTGCACAGTCTCACGAAGTTCGGTTAGTTTAAAAGGTCAAGCCCACAACTTCTTTAATGCTCTGAATCCGTATAAATTTTTTAGCTCTGTGAAATAGTTATATAGCGTACTTGTGAATAGATCCTTTGGGTATTCTTTCTTCGGACACGAATTGTTTACACCTACCCAGTACTGACATCGACAGTTTCTGTTGATCCCTAACAACCCATATGCCCATTTCTCTCTAATAATGCCCCTTGCGGATGGACTTATGTCAGCGCCTGCGTGCTGTTTCCCACTCTTGCGAGCTCTTCGACTTTGAATCTCAAAACTAATTCTTGTCCCAGATGTTCACTGGCCTCTCCTTGACCATTGCAGGGCAAAACTTGTCTCAGAGGGCTTGGATACGTGACACACTGTATTAGGCCATAGTTCTACATTAACCTTCCGTAGGGTTGTCTGCATCTTCTTTTGTTGCCTTATCATGACGACATTTTTCGCAGATAGTATAGTCACCACCCATTTGAGATTGTGTGCAGTCTAACTATGCCTTCTGAACTAGCCAATCTCACTTTTGTCCGCCCTTTATTAACCGCCTCTTTTTGTTTCTTTCACAAGACCTTTTCAGCACCCGCCATCAGGCCCCTGACCGGTCAAGCCTTACTTACGCATCGCTCTGCTCCCTTTATGTTCTTGCAGGTCCGAGCGAAGTACGCTTCTGAATTATCTGATGATCCTGTTGTCAGTCGACACTTGAATTCCTTTTACGACACCTTGTTTGGACAGAATCTTCTCAAATTGATCGAGCCCTACTCCAGGGTCCAAATAGGACACATAGCTAAATTGATTAATCTGCCGCTGGTACGTTGTTTTCAATCCTTTCCTATCGCTTTAATCTCTCCTAGTTATTTGTCTGAAATTGGTGGATCGGTTTACTTTACCTTAATAGTTGTGTCATTTCTGATGGTCATATCACTGAGGAAGTTGCTTCGCCTTTTAGTTAGGCATGTGCTTTATTTCAGAGGCTCAAACGTCCATACAGACAGTGGGATATCAGCCTGTTAGTGAATGGCAGGGTGTATAACGCGGCGACAAGGCCGATGTTACTGTATGGATAAGAGGCGGCCTGACCAGTTCACATTGAAAACACTAAACCATCGGCCGTTTTCGATCATCCAGGTGAGAAATGCTGAGGTCCGCCAGCTGGTTTTTGGAAAGAAGCCTTCTGGTACCTCAATTGAGTGTTTGCCGTATCTTAGCGGCTTACGTTGGCTAAGTCATATCCTCCATATATGCACGCCTTTCTCGGCACCAAGTTGGGCAACAGTGCGAGGTGTTTAGTCGATATTGTGGTATAGGAACATGAAGCAACTGAGCTAGAGACTTCATCAGGCTTGCTGGTGTCCTTTTCGTGGACGAGGGCCCCGGGATGAACCCTAACATTGATCAGAGACTTTATCCGACATGACACAGTCAGTGACGTTCCTGTATTCGGTGTCTTACATTTATATGTCAATTTTCAGTTTATCTGGACTAGTTTAACGTAAACGGTTCTTTGTTTCCTTTTCTATTTGCATTCGACCGTTTTTTTAATTTTTATTCTGGAGATGTAAGTCGTGGCAGCTGAATCCACTGCACTTCGTGCTCGGATCATAGTTCAGTTCAACTGGGCTGAACTGAGCTCCCGCTTTCATTTACCGTTGTATTCATGCCATTCGGACATCTCTTCTAATTCACCCCCAGCATTACTTATTGGGCCATCCGAATGAATTTAATAATCTCTGTCATTTTCTGAGATTATTATTCGACAATTGCAACATTGTGGTCTGATCTATTCACTTCGCCATTGCGTTACTGGAGGCACTCCCTGGACCACTGTTAAGTACGTGAATCTTCAGCTGTAATAATACCGCCCAAAATGGACGTTTCCTCGGCTTACTGACCACATTACACTTACATTGTTCGCCTAACATTTTCTCGCTGCATTGTATTGTATTTTGCTTTCTTCCATTTTGAGATGGACAGCAATTTCCACCTACGTCATCCAGTGGCGTAGAAACCAGTTTGGTCGCTCAGGGCGGTGGTAAAATTTTCGCCCTGACTGAGGACAGAATAGGCGGGCGAAGGCTGCACAATCGGCTCGCGGTGAAGTGCACATTAGTTTTCAATGGAATGGGCGATCCTTGGGGACACAGTAAATGTAGTGTAAGTGACTACAAGAGGATGTATGAGGGGAGCCTTGGGAAATTTCGCCCTTTATACTTTTTGTCGAACAATCAGCGGTAGTGAAAATGCCGCCTCCTGTCACTGACCGCCTGGGGCGGACCGCCCCTTTGCTGCGCCTGTGATGCCGTCGCCGATTATATCGAAGGGGCACTTTATTTCAAAACCATATTCAGGGTGTTCGTTTAATCAACGTAGTTTGTTGCGTTGCAATTGTGTTTCAGAGCGCAGCGGGACTACCCCTTGGCAAATGTTTTGCCATAAGTGTTTCATGGTCTAACTGACCCGCGGAAGCAGGTTCGCCACTGATACTAGTCGTCATGTCGTGTTGTTTTTCGTCAATGCGATGGCTTAGCACAGTATGCCGGATCAGCCCGAGCCCGTCGTTCACTGCACCGTAACCTAAATGCTTGTTTACCGTTATCCTTAAAAAAATTAGCGTACGACGAAGATGTTCGGCCTGGATAATCAGTTACTTATTGTATTTAACAAGCCTTCTATATCCAGGCTTATTTTCTTCAGTTCATCTCCGTTTTAAGTCCACTTCTCCTTTTCAACATTACTAAACTTATTCATTTGAATGTATCACACCAGCCCACTTCTTTCTACCTCAGGTTACCTCCCATCCCAGGTTCTCAGTGCTATCAACGAGATGCAATTTAATTCGCCAAGTACTTTTTGCAACCTCGCCACAAAACGCGTTTGAGCTCTCCCTGAACGGTCATCCCTAACACTTCCATTTTCTCCATTCTAACTTAATATTATTAGTTCCCTAATTTATACAGTACTTTGTTGTCCGATAACATTACACTCTCGTGCTGGGCGCTTTCAAGACTGCTTCATGTTTGGTGACTCGAAGTCGGGGTGTTAAATTTGATAGCAAGTGTTGCACGTTTATTTCCCTATCGGTTTTGGCTGGGAAACTGAAGTACAACGAAGCTATTTGCTACATCGATGCGAATTTAAAGATTTCATCTAATGGATCCAGGATACATATGGTCATGTCTATCGATGCTGGCGCGTGTTTCAGACAGACCGGTCAAATTAATCGTCTGACGACTGTAAATTTTCAACGTGTTGTGAAGTTATACGATGCTAACCAACTTACTCTGTTCATCGTGTCCACAGCTGCGCACATTGCGTTTTTCTTTTTTAGGACACAGTAGAGAAAAAGTTGTCGAAGATGATACTGGACAATGAACACAACGGTATGTTTCACCTTCTTGTTTCGCCGCGTGAAGATTCCGCACAGAACGTACTAAACGTGTACCATTTGGTTGCTTGCTCTGTCAAGCGCAAAGATAGGGTTGTACACACTCGCATTTATTTACTACATTGGTTAGACAAGGATGTGCACTGAGACTGCTTCCTTCTTACCTGGACGATGCGCAAGTGCACTTTGTATGCGCATGTTACTCTCCTCTTAACAATCTGCTGCTTCTTTCCCTAACTGTCAATGAGTCTTGATGTTGTTAATCGATCATGTGTATACTTACTGCCCGCTGCTCCCGAGCATTTCATTTTCTCTACATATAGTGTCAGCCATGCATCTTTTCATACAGAAACGTATATTTAATCGATCTATGACTCCGCGCGCCGGTTAGTCTTGTTTCACGTATTTACGTGCCTGTATTTTCGTTGAACACGGTGTTCACAACTACACTTTCGACTACTCCTGCCCTCATATATTGTCCTCTGCATGAATGAACTAGTCACACATGCTAGCTGCAGCTCGAACAAGCGCCCTGCAATTTCACCCACAGGTTTCCTCGTTAAGTACCCTGCACCAACGAATTGCAATCGGTATCACGTACCGTCCATATGTTTAAGTTCAATCACCAAACTTCCATCTCGTCTTGGGCTTATGTAGCTCGGTTTTCTGGACGCTTTACGTTGACTTTCCGATATCAAAGTCAAATTTGTATTATGTAGCTTTGCTGTCTACCTGATTAGGGTATTTTAATCTTGTCCTACAGGCATCCTCGATCAAGGCTCCGGTGTACTGGTTTTACGTGATCCACAATGCGAAGGCAAGGACTATCCGGAGGCTCTGGCGGCCGTCCAGGCTTTGAATGGGATCGTTGATTTATTGTTTCAAAAGACTACTAAACTTCGGTGACTTATTATGCCCTCTTCACGTTTTCCCTCCGTGTGTAGTCTGTTGACCGGTTGATCGTGTTTCTCATCACATGGTGTTAGTTCACCTCCAAACGTTGCATGTCGCCATCCATATCGACCACTTCTATTCGTCCTCTTTATCTGCACTCCACCTGTGAGCTGTGAATTACAAATACACTCGCATCAACTTTCATCGGAGCAACGTTTGATTATTTCTTTTAAATGAACCTTTAGTGGCCCCACCATTTTTTTGGTGAAAGGACTTCTCGAAGTTCTCAGGTCATATGCGTCTCTCATCTCCATCAGAATGTCCGATACTTAGGATACCGGAGTTCGATGTGTCTAGTTGCCGCAACTCATTCCAATGGTAATAACACAAACAGCAGGGTATATATATATATATATATATATATATATATATTGTTGACGGCACCCGGTTCCGGATTTGCCTGTCACTGTGACCTGCATAGGACAGCCACAGGACACCTGTGTCTACAGAGTGACCATGGATGGCTTGTGCTTCACCACGCATCTTATTTCCAGTGTAAACCCGAAGGAATGAGATCGGGAGGCATGTAGATGGGAGCTACGTTTCATCAACGGAGCCCGCCCATACTATTTCAGCATACATTCCTAATTGGGGAATCATGCATACCAGACGTACACAAGGCGGTGATGTGGCCGTAGCCCGTTCCACACTGGATGCATGGAACCACTCCTTTAGCCTATCACGACCACAAGGACTGTGCACCCCGTCCACTCCACCAACATATAACTGTCTCCTGGAGCCAGTATGGGTTAGGTAGTGGGTAATAGACGGGTAGGCTACTTGTTAACTCTCTCCTGAAGCTCACTCCTTCAACATGCACAGCAGCAGCATTCCTGTTTATCTAGGTGGGCATTCATACATCTTAGATGTACACAAATCGATGGCTGGGTCGTAGCCCATTCCACACCGGATGCATGAAACCTGTCTTTGAGCCTAACGCGGTCACGAGGACCGTGCACTCCGTCCCCCCAACCAGGCTTGACATTCTCCTAGAAGCAGTAAACGAGGTGGAAAGTGTTAGACAGGTAGGCACCTTGTCAACCTTCACATCAAGTGCAACCAAGCGTTGCATATCACACGAGACATTTCATGTGTCAAACGCAGTCCGACAGTCAGTCGAGTTTAACCCGGCTGCGACGACAAAGCACATCATATACTTCGTCAGCACTGCATGACGGAAGTAGCCTAACAATCATATTCGTCAATTTATGCGAACTCGCAATAGTAAGTACCAAATAAGAGACGATCGACTGACAAAGTTGAACGGTACCAGTGTTCCTCCTTTCTCACGAACCGAAGCTTGTATAGATCCGGGGCCGACTAGTCGCTCATTAATACACATGTTCTAAAGGACCTGAGCTTAAACACTAGACTATCTTCTTTAATTGTCTTAACTTCTCCAGGCTGAATTCCGCAGAAACAGAGAAATTTAGCCCCATTATGGTGGGAGCCTATTTTGATGAGGAATATGCCAAATGTGCGGCGGGCAATTCCTGCCCATTAGCAGCTGAAACGCTGGGGTTATCTTAAATAGGTAAGCTTTCTGAATGCAACAATTTACAGCACGAGATTGGCGCAAGAGGAAGCATTGCCTGAAATCCTGCTCGCATATCCTACCAGCATGCAATTAACCTCTAGGATTTCTCCATTGCAGTTTTCAAGGGAAGCAAGAATAGCACTCGATACATGCTTAGTTGGACGGGGTGAATGGGAACGTCAAGCAGCCTGTCTCGATGAATTGGAGGAAACCGCTAGAATGCAAACCAACCCTCAGAATAAGCGGAACTACGACTCCAGGTATGCGGCACATGAGCAGAGAGCCTTTCGTGTAGGAGACTAAGTCAAGATAGGAAATAACGACGGACCGTTAGTTGGAGGCCAAAGCGGGAGAATATTCAGGGACCGCTGGAGATACCCCTACAATACACTTTGTCGTAAAGGGGTAAACTACGAAATTTACAGTGAAGTGGCACACCGCTGGTTAAATGCCGCCCTTGTAAACGCGTGACACACAAGGGACAATAAACTTAAAAATGCATGCAAGCCATTCGTTCTTTTTTGGCGATTTTTAAACGCGTTGTTTTTCTTTACTTTCTCCTGTGCGTTCGATCGACTGTCTCTCACGAGCGACCCTTTCGAGGATCACTGCAATCAAAGGCGAATCAGAAACGAAAGCGTTCCTCGTGTTGCGCGTGGAGCTTCGGAGCTGGGCTGAGTGCGGCGGGGATATACGCTCCCTTGGCATTGCAAAACTCCAGGAAGAATCAACTAAGCTTTGTTTTCGGACAGACAAAAGAGGAGTTCATTTCTAATCCTAAATCTTTTGTCCGATTTGTAGGCAACTTATATCTCAGTGTACACACACAAAAATAACACCGCCCGAAAGTGATCACGTCGTGAGCGCAACTTCGTAGAATTGTGTGACTTCTTTGTCAATTCCAACAAAATGAGCAAATAATGTCGTGATAAAATTGATGGCGAGAACAAATTTGTCGCTATTATTAACCAGTGCCGTGCAGATTACAGGAGCACCATTTGGCAGCAGCGGAAGTTGAGGTACTGTCAGCCTCTTTTCTAGACTAACCAGTATTTTGTCGTCCTACAAATCCGCTCCGATGGCTCGACGTGATGCATCTCTTCAAACAAAATATAATCAGCACAACATACACGTCAATCTCCGACAAACGCGTTTTGGACACAAACATCCGTATTCACCTTTGCTCTGAGCACTTTTTCTTTATTAAATTGGGTTCGCATCCTTTTGAACATCGAACGCTCCTTTTTTCTAGTCCTCTTAGACGGGAGTTCTGTAGCACCCAGGAAGATGATCCATGTCTTTTCGGTACAGTTTTATTACTGATCAGTTGTGCTTTACACGTGGTTGTTTTACTGACCTCTACCCTACGTCCATGTTTGTCTCCATCTGGGTCGTTACTTTTGGTCCGATGGGCATTGGATTGTAGAGGGCAGAAGGAAGGACCTTTGTCAGCTCCATCACCTCCCAACCATAGCAGGTTGTTGTGCAACAGCAATTAACAAAATAGGTTGTCACAGTTGCATAAGAAACAAGATCCCTACAAATTCACCAATATAAATCCAACAATCGCTTAAAACATTCCACAGTATACGCCTTGACGACGGAATCAGGCATGCACTTCCAGTCGTTCACCACACGAGTCGATAGGGTAATATCAGAGCCAAGCCTGAGTCTCCTATGTTTAAAAGTTTCCAGCAGTGACCCTGAGTCGAACAGTCGTTAATCTGGGAAAGACCTTAGAATTCGACTCCCATCTTACCTCGCAGAATGCGCCGGGCGTAGATCATATCGACTCGGTGACGGCGATATTCCAGAGAGAACATATTCAAGTACTGGAGACGAATGTGATATGGCAGATGTCGTAGCTCGAAAATGTACTTATAACCGCGCTCACTCAAGCCATGTTCAAACATTGTAAGCGGATGGACTGCCGGTATTCCATATTCGAGGATTGGACGTACATGAGAGGAGAACACAAGTATGAAAATCTTCGGAGTCAATCTTGAATAAGCTCTTCTGATAGAGCACAATAGTTTGTTGGCCGCGGCAACCCTCCTCAAGGTATTCTGGTTCGTTTTTAGATCAGAGGATACAATAACCCCAAGGTCTCTTTCCTGTTTCATATTATTAAACAAATAACCGCCAAGGTGGTAAGCACCGAATGGTTCAGTAGCGCCAATGGGAAGTACAGAACATTTATCGCGATTTATAGGTAACTATCAATTAATTGACCAATCATGTAACCGATCAAGTGTATTTTGAAGTCGGTCAATATTCTCAGCGCTGGATACCTCCATCCATAAGTTCAAATCGTCAGCATAGAACCTATTTGATGATAGATTATCTAGCTTACCCGTGAAGCTGAAGGATGACAATGTGAGACTCAGAGAAGCGGTATTAGTTCCCAGTCTGGGCTCAGACCTAACAGCGTTGACTATCAATTAAGTACGAACAGCGAATGCCAACAACCCGTTACTACATCAACTCAGCGAGTATGTGCGACAGAGATAGCCTTTAGACAACAAAGTCCCCGGTAAGTTCATTCCATCTTAAGCAATTCAAGATGAGCTGTCAGTGGTAGCTTGTTGTCTGATGAGTGGTCCGGTGTTTATAGCTCCAAGTCAGTTGGTAAACAAAATAATTGCTTTTGCACATGATGGTCACCCGGGTATCGTTCGAACCAAAAACCGAGCGAAACGCCACTTTTGGTGGCCACGAATGGCGTCTAGCATCGAGACATTTATGATGAAGTGTAACACATGCCGCCTAACGAACAACAGTTTTATGCCAGTTGAATCCCAATACAGCCTATTACTTACCCGATGAAGTCGTGGGGTAAGATCGCTATTGAGATCATGGGTCTTTTGGCCATCGCTCCTACGAATAAGAGAACTCTACTTTTAGCTACATGTTTTTCACAATAAGTGACCTGAAGTCGACAGGTGCGACCAAATGACTACCTCGGTTGTGTTAAGCTGGCTTAAATACTTGTTCAGTCGCTTCGGACTGCCGGAAAAAATAGTCATAGACAACGGACCACAATGTTTTAGCCACGACTTCGCAGGTTTCCTCTAGTACCATAAGATAAACACTCCAGAACTGCACCTTACAATGCTGCGGCCAATGGTACGGTCGAGCGACTGAACCAATCGCTCAAGGAAACCATACAGGCCATCAAATTAGTAGGGTCGGATTAGGTAGATACTGCCTTAACTGCTGTATTTTCTCACAGTTCTTGTAATCACAGGGCTGCCGGAAGAACTCCGGCGGAGCTGATATTAGGAAGGCCCTTACGCACCAAACTATATGCAGCAAGTAACCTGTCGTCTGCGAGAGGTGCCGAACTTTCAGCTCGCATAGCACATAACCAGAATTCCTACGCCAGATCGTCAACTCCTATGTAGCCTGGAGCATACGTTCGCGTTAAAAAAACGGGAGAGGGCTAAAGGCATCTCAGCTGTATCCGCATTGTTACGAATCGCCGAGAGACTAGGTCCAGCGATTTATCGATTGGAAAACGGCCTAATTACTAACGCGCGTCGGTTGCACGCGGCCCATGGACCAGCGACTCAGTCTAAAACTACGAATGAAAACCAGCCAGAATCGCCACTACC